GGAAGAAGAATGGTTCACTTTCAGTGTAACTTAGTTTGTTATTATCACAGAGAAACCACCCTGTAGTGGCTGCTTCTACAGGTGTCTTACTGACCTATTTACAGCTGGGAGGGGTGTGTAATTTCAGGAGGCTTCCCATCTACCTCAGACACACAAAGTGACTAAGTCCAAAGTGTTCTAGAGTGGATATTTTTTCAATGCACAGTATATGCCTTTTATCCACACAACAGATGCAGCTTTTATATCTGGGTGATGTATCGTTTGTGATAATAACATTCCTACCAGGGAATCCAAAGTAGGTAAAACAATAGCAATCTACAGTTCAGTAAAAGCAGCATGACTATAAGCTGTGATTACACTTAAAGGAGTGAAGCAGTACACAGTCAAATAATATTTCCTTTCTATCTCAAGCACTTGGAGTCCACAGGGAAAGTATGAATCTGTAAAGTGACGACTCGCTGAATAACTTTGTCTCTTCTTACTCCAGTCTCTTTTCTCGTGACAAATGTCAGTAAGAGACATGCTGGTGGAACAAATGATCGTCTCGGAGGAGATGCACAATCTGGCTAATTGAAAACAAAGTGAACCAGCATGCTATGTTATGTTAAATACACATTTAAAGTGCCACATCAATTTTTTTCAAGAAAATGTCAACCAGAAATCCCACTGTCAGGGCATCCTGGTGGCCTTGGAGTTTAAGGTGCCCACTACAGTCTGTAATGCGACAGCTACAGTTTGATTCGGTGCACCGTGCCATCCCGTCTCTCTCTTTCCCCTTCTGTCCTGTTAGCTGTCTACTTGTCAATAATGCCATTAAATGCCCCAATGAGTATTTTAAAAACTCCAGTCTTAACAAGTTATTGTCCATCTTGGGTTGATGTTTGTATTTTTTAAATACCTGAAAAGATTTCCAAATGAGTGAGGTTGTTCTGTTTTTCCAAGCAAGTATTTCATAGAATTAAGGGAAATTTTTAATTCCGCTGTATGCTTTCACAGTTCACACCAATTACATCTTACTATTGTGACAGTAATTTCACACTTTAAGAAAACACAACTTGCAGGGTAATTCTGGAACACAATGACTTCTTCAGATAGATGTAAAAAAGAAGACTCAGGAACAGGCCTAACACTGAATGTATAATATTCAGATTACCCAGTAAGTGTCATTAGGAAAACTGTTGGTCTCAAAATAAAGATTGTACTGCTCACACCCATAGTTTAATGGATGGACTGGAGGAAGCAAGAAAATGACCAACTGGGTAGCCCCCAGCAATGCATTCCTGTCTTCCTCACAGCCCATGGGCGGCAGCATCTGCAACTGGTTTTAATGGCTACAGAATACTGGCTCTAATGAGTCAAGCTCAGAACGTAGCATATACTGTACCAAGGCGACTGAAATTAATTTCTGTTTGTCAGAGAGGAGCTCTTAGTGCACGCTACTAATGTGGCTCTAGGAATAGCAGTGTCAGTTGGTCAGTCCATTGGTCCATTAGTCTGCAAGTCTGACACCTCCAGGGTAACTTCATTCATATTGATTAGATATATTCATAGTCATTATATTTAGAGCATGCTAATGGCATTGATCCCCCGACTTTCACTCTGCTGCCACAAACAGGTCAAATGTGTGATTTCCTGACAGGTCAGCTCCAAAGCTAACCTAAAGCAGCCACCAAGCAGCCTCAGTTGTATACAACTGAGGAGAACATCAACAAACATGCTACATTAGCAGCATGCACTAGGTAAACATCCTGGAAAGCTAAATGTTACATGCAACATTCCAGCACTGAGTTGCTCTTAGCACCCATTTCAGTATGCTGCTGTTTATATTAGCCTGCTCAGATCTCTGCACTGGCCTCCTGCATGTCACACATTTGACTGTAGCATACTACTGTTGGTTTATAAAGCACTGAATGGTTTCGGGCCAAAGTACATTTCTGATCTGCTGCTCCATTAAGTACCAATCCCACCTCTGTCTGGAACATGTCTGCATACTGTCCACAGTCAAAAGTAAACGGAGAGCAGCATTCAGCCTCAGTGCACCACATATCAGTGAGGGCTGCTCCAGCTCTGTGCTTTTACATGGAAGGTTAAAATCCTTAGGTTTAGCAGTGACTTTTATTTAATTAATCTTGGGACTATTTGTTCATATCTTGCACTGAAATTATTCTTCAACTTATTCTTTATTTTGTTTATCTTTCTCTTTGACTTTATGCTTTGAACATCTGTCTTTTTATAGTACCTTGTGTTTCCTTTATATCGTCTATTAAGTGGCTTTTTATGTTATATGTAAAGTGCCTTGCTGTTGAAAGGTGCTATATAAAATATACTTGCTTTGCCTTTCTTGAAATGTGTAACAGCTGTAACAAAGTGATGTGGCTTTCTGTGCCATTTTCATAGTTGCATATACAGTGGGTACGGAAAGTCTTCAGACCCCCTTAAATTTTTCACTCTGTTATATTGCAGCCATATGCTAAAATCATTTAAGTTCATTTTTTTCCTCATTAATGTACACACAGCACCCCATATTGACAGAAAAACACAGAATGTTTGACATGTTTGCAGATTTATTAAAAAAGAAAAACTGAAATATCACATGGTCATAAGTATTCAGACCCTTTGCTGTGACACTCATATATTTAACTTAGGTGCTGTCCATTTCTTCAGATGACTGTGACTGAGCTCCAGAGATGCAGTCGGGAGATGGGAGAAAGTTGTAGAAAGTCAACCATCACTGCAGCCCTCCACCAGTCGGGGCT